CGCTGCGCTTCCCCCCGGGCCGGTGGCACCCGCCTGCCGGTCTCGGGCACTGAAAGCCGTTCGCTTGGTTCACGCCATCGGACATTTTCACTACAGTTTGCGTGTCGGTGCCTAGAAGCCGCTGACTTATAAGGCAATGTATTTATAAGAGATTGTGGAAATCTTTCCTGCCTCCCTGTAAACTCCTCTTTTACGAGCTGCAGACGCAGCCTGGCTCATCCTCTGCAGCCTGCTTGCTGGCAGTGGATGCTCTGCAAGGTTTAAAGGGATACCAGGAGATTGGCCAAGTTCTCAGATTCGCGTTTTCTGCTCTTGCAATATTTTGGCCTCCTACCTTTGAAGGCTGAGCTCAGACGCGTGTGGTCACTTTCCCTTCTCTCTCTGGAGACCTGCTAGGGCTGGTGGTACCCGTGCTGAGCTCTTCCTGCCCGCCATCCCGCAGCGAGAGGAGCTGGTGCTTGCTCGGGGGCAGGCTGCCCGCAGCGGGGACATCCCCTCCTCCCAGCCCGCGGCCGCCTTCCCACCATCCCCCCCCCAGTAAAGCCACCCCAACTGCCTTACAGCTGGCAGGGCTCCAGCCCCCCGGGCCCAGCCAAACCCAGAGCCAGCCCGTGGGGTGGCTCCAGCAGCAAGGCAAGGGCCTCGGGGGGCAAAGGGAGGATGCTGCCCAGCTCCGCTCCGGCCTCCCCGACAGCCAGGGGCTCTGCTGTGACCACAGAACGTCAGTCCTGCTTTGCAGCCCCTTTGCTGTCACCCAGACTGTGCAAAGCAGCGTGGAGGGAGGGCACGGCAGGCTTAACCCCGCATAGATGCAAGGGAGGGGTGCCTCCGTGGTTCTGTGTCAGCTGGCGGCGAGCGGCAGCGTCCCGGCGATGGCTGAGGGACAGACGGTGCTGCTGAGCCCGGGAGCACCGCAGCAGGACCCGGCCCGGAGGGCCTGGCCCCGCGCTCGCCCGTGGGGCTCCGCATGCCCAGCCAAACCCAGAGCCAGCCCGTGGGGTGGCTCCAGCAGCAAGGCAAGGGCCTCGGGGGGCAAAGGGAGGATGCTGCCCAGCTCCGCTCCGGCCTCCCCGACAGCCAGGGGCTCTGCTGTGACCACAGAACGTCAGTCCTGCTTTGCAGCCCCTTTGCTGTCACCCAGACTGTGCAAAGCAGCGTGGAGGGAGGGCACGGCAGGCTTAACCCCGCATAGATGCAAGGGAGGGGTGCCTCCGTGGTTCTGTGTCAGCTGGCGGCGAGCGGCAGCGTCCCGGCGATGGCTGAGGGACAGACGGTGCTGCTGAGCCCGGGAGCACCGCAGCAGGACCCGGCCCGGAGGACCTGGCCCCGCGCTCGCTCTCATGCCTGCACCTTTCTCTTGCAGAGACAGCCCAACATGGCGACCTGCTCCAACTGCTCCAACGACTGCTCCAGCGACAACGACACGCTGCAGGATAGTGTTGCGCTGTTTCAATTTATCGTCTACATCCCGGTGCTCTCTCTGGGGGTCCCCCTGAACACGATTGCCTTCTGGGTCTTCTGCTGCAAAATCAAGAGGTGGACGGAGACCAGGGTGTACATGATCAACCTCATGGTCGCAGACAGTTTCCTGCTCTTTGCTCTGCCTTTCATGATCTATTTTACCAAGTACGACCACCCCATAGGCAACCTGTGCCTCACCATACAGAGCATCTATTTCACTAACATGCCTATGAGCATCCTTATCATCACCCTGATTGCGATTGATCGATACATTGCAATCAAGTTCCCTCTGAAAGCAAGGATTCTTCGATCCCCGTTGAAATCGGCTTC